ATCACACACACACACACACACACACACACACACACACACACACACACACATATATATAGAATATCACATATAAGCAAGAAGCGTAGTCCGGTGGTGGAAGGGGGGAGGTGTTGGAGGCGGTGATTCGAGTGAGATAATCAAATTTAGAAAAATCGATTTTACGACTGCCTATTCTCCCGAATGCACTCGTTCGTTGTTCCATAAATGCATGCCTCGCAGCTACTGTGTATGCGCTTTGGATCTATTTTTGCAATTAACTTTAATTTCTCTTTAAAAGTGAAAGAACGGAATAAAAATTGAAGGCTTATTATTATTTGATAGACACGTTAAATTAAATGCAATGCATGGCTAAATTTTAACGAATCGTCGTTCGATCACAGACGAATAAATATCCGTACAGAAATTTTGTTATTTATTATTTATCGAGCGCAGTCTTGAATGCCATTCTTTGTGTTTTTTCTTTTTACTTTCGCTTTTGTTTTAATGTTTAATCGAGATAAATTGTTTTTCAATGAACTTGTTGTTCGTGCGAACAACGAAACGATCGTGTTGACAAAATTATGAAAGATCAATTGAATTAGATAAATTGAGCGGCGGTGTACTCGGGCGATTGCTTAAACTGTCTCGTCATTATTAGTGTCTCCTCATTAATTTCTTAATTATATCTTCACCAAATTGTATTATATATAATTCATCAGAAATGGCTAATCGTATTTATTCATTATTTTAAACGAGTCGGCACGATTGGCTAGCTTCGACATTTGTTTATATTTAAATATTTGCTTTGGTAATGCGCGTGCTTTCTTAATTATATACAAGGCATACGTTAAATCTATAGACTGAGCTCAGATTAAAATCTTTAATACTTAAATCACTTTTTGTTGGCTCTGCAACGAGAAAAAAGTCTTTTAGCGTCTCGTATTTTCATAATGAAAAAAAAAAAAAAAGAAGAAAACTTTGCCATCTAATTTTCGACAATTAATATATACGACGTTGTTTAAGATTTTAATAAAGTTGTATAATTATCACTATATGTCGCTTTTACATTATAGGTATAGAAACTTTTGCGAATTACATCCCGGCAAAATTATTGTTGAATTGCAATGGTTTTAGAGAGAAATAAAAAGAAAAGAAAAAAATGTAAAGAGTTGGCTTACAAAGTTTACTTAAAAGAGAAATATGATTTTAGAAGGTTATATGTATGTTTATTTTCTGTACTGTCTCATGTTCCATTTTCCATATTCTAAATTTAAATAAGAAATGCTGTAAGATTGAATGCGTCTAAAATACAAAGGTGGCCTTGGAAAAAAGAAAAAAAAAAAAAAAAAAAAAAAAAAAAAAAAAAACCACACATAGTTGTTACATTGAAGTTGAATTTACGCTGTTGTCAATTTTTATACTAAATCACATCTTAAGTAACTTTTTCTCACGTTAAAACAATGGTCTCTCTCTCTCTCTCTCTCTCTCTCTCTCTCTCTCACACACACACACACACGCACACACGCACGCACGCACGCACATACGCACGCACAAACATACACACTCGCACTCGCGCACACACAAAAACACACAAACACCAAAACATACAAACACACAAACACAACGCAACACATTATTCGATCAAATTCACCGATTGATCGAAAATAATGGGCTTTACAAGAATACATTAAACTAAATTGTTATTGGCACCGTTTATTAAGCAATCGCTTTTATTGCGGGTGAGAAAGCAGCGAGGGCCAGTCCTTTCTTCAACTTTGGTTAAAAAGGATTTGAGAAACGAGTCCACTAGCCGATTGAAAGTTATTATAATACTGTTAGCTTGCCTTTCGGTCGCCAAGTATTTTCCTCGAATAGAAACTACACATTACGCTACTCACGATGAAAAAGTGCAATACATAATAACACTGCCATAATAACAATGATTCCCCACTGCGAATTAGCATGTACGTGGTGAAAATATCGTATGAGCGCTCCGGGTACAACTATGGGATATCTCGCCATATGGACGATTGATACGTCTGAATGAGCGGCTCTCGTACTTTAAGCACGAGGAGGAGACAAAAGCGAGGGACGTTTTATGCGTGACACTGCCACGTGCGTGCGCTCATAGAAACGCCTTCATCCGTATTTATCGCTATAAGATTTCCTTTCCTCCGCGCAATGAATAAAGACCGCTAAGATGGACAGCTGCTTCTTAAAACGAGCTGCAGCACTCCCTACCCTTTGTACTTCTGCACATTGTCATTATTTTATATTGCCAGGCTGCACCTGCCGTAAGCGTTTCTCCATTAAGCGCCCATAATGATTTTGCAGTTGGATGTTTGGGCCCGAGCCCCGGCCTTTGCAATATCCGTTCCGTTCATGCGGATCGGCCGATTCTTCGATCAAAGGCCTCGTTGCTTTTGCTTTTGCCTTGGTGGCCGAGCGTCGACTGCCTTATCGACCGAGCGGATCGCCATTGGTTCGTCATACGCTACTTTCACCGCCGCTCGTCGACGATCGTTATGCGCCGTATCGGCAGAGGCCCCGATCTGTCGATCGATAATGCAGCCGACAGTCGTCTCGGTAAAATCAAACGCTTGATCGGCAAGCTTTTCCATTATACTGTTAAATCGGCGATTTTTGATCGATAAAATGAACAATTTATCCCGTAGGCTTTATCCTACCTATAGACATAGGTCTACCTTCCTTAAAGTAGCGCCGTTTTCTTTTTTTTTTTTTTTTTTTTTTTTTTTTTTTTTTTTTTTTTTTTTAACTAATTTTTACAATATCCATCGTTTAAGCAATTATTGTTACTCCTTTCGTAAAGCGACGTATGCCTAGCCTTGTCTCGTGCCCCTGTCAAGACTAAATTTCATTATATTCGCGCATTTATCTAGAAAGTGTACTTCCCCATTAAGAACGACGCTTTTCTCGTGCTTAGGTAAATATTTTTTATTTTATTTAATCTTCTATTTGGTTGTTTCGTTATTCATCCTATCTTTCAATGGCTTACAACGTATTAGCGATTAATAATACTAATTGCCAATATCGATCATGGGTAACGATGAGTTTTATATTTCCTGGTTATTGTTAAAAAAAAAAAAAAATTCACTTAATGCAAGTATGCGATTTGCTCGACGAGGGATGATAAAGATCTTTTGATTTATAATAAGAATAAATAGATTAAATAGACGCTTGTAGGTATTAAAGAGCTTTATTCTTGTTGGTTTGATATAACTTATTGTATACGATTTGTACGCGGGAAAACAAATTTTCTACATGCGGATTCATCGAAAAGGAAAACTTATACGCTAAATCGCTTACACAAGTCGCGCTTATAATGTAATTGCAATAATTTATGAAGGATTACTAAAACTAATAATACATCTGGAATGACATCACATGAAAGAAGACGCGATGTACGAAGGTGAAATCATCAGTAAGGGGCAAAGTTTATCCAGGCACGGTTAGACTCGCCGTGCCCGTCCATTAAATCCGATAACTTTCTATCGATATGACATACGAGAAAGCGCGAATCGACGATTTCTTTACTCACGTCACTCTGTGCTTCACATTTCATTCATAGAAGCGAAATACATGGCGCTATGTTTCTTGCATGCTCAACATGATGTAAAAAGATGCGGCTGCCCGCACGCGATAGTGTGCATGTATTATTGTGCTTGTGCGCAAGTCTGGACGTGCGTGTGTAAACATGACGCGCGCAGCGCTAACTCGACAACTTTTAAATTTTTCGCTCCCGCTTATCAAACGACGAACATCTCCGTTCGTCCTAATAATAATATTTTGACGTGGCGTCGATGCAATCCTAATTTAATTGGCTTCCTACGTAGTTGGCCGCTGCTTCTTCTTTCGAAAATATTTGAAAAATATCCAGAGTCGTTGTCGCCCCAGCGCCTCGAACGTCGAAACAGTTGATTTACATAATCCGGTGTTGGGGAGGATGAGCCGCCACGTGAATAACTTACGGGACGACTGGGATCCTCCCGCTAGCCAATAGCGAATAGCGAGCGCTTAACGAAGCATCGAATAAATGTTTAAACAAACATGAACACATGCGTCGAGCATAGTACAAATTTTTATCACAAGGGTGCCCATCGAAGGCCCCGGGGGCGCATAATTTAAGATTCGGAGTGCGGGATAGGGTTGGTGGGATTTGGAAGGCGGTGGCGTTGACGATAGGGTGCGGTGGATAGGGTGCTAGTGGTATTAGATTGGTGAAAGGGCGGTGGAGGGGGGATGGTGTG